TATTATTTAAACAGTTGGCTTCCTAGTCTCTTCCTGTATGTAAGACCCATTGCTTTTGGTGATGAAGGCCAGTAGAGAAGTCCTTCTACCCCTAATTATGATTTTTCTTCTGGTCCCTTTCTAATCCTGGTTCAGATAAAYACCTCCTGGGGGATCTACAGACTCTTTCAGAGTTCCTCACCTTGATCTACCTTTCCCTTATGCATTTTGAATGAAAATTATGCTCCTGTGATGATTGCATTGCTTTAGCTTGTTAATCTACACTTTACAGAGTTTCCTACATTGTACAGAGTTCAGTATATTGGGAATTGTAGTTAATATGCTTTTTAGCAGTGTGACTAAGTCAGGTTTTTGCATGTCATTCCTTAATAAATTTTAGATTTGTTGGGGAATTGCAATCCCACATTGCAGAATTYTTTTTCACAAAAGTCAGATTCACTTTTTAGGTATCATTTTGATTTATAAAGAGTTATATTTTCAATGATTGCTTGTCTAGCTAGAAAATGAGGCAACTTTTTCAAAGTTTGACTGATTTTGCATTTTCAATAATTTGGACATATCAGAGGAAGATTTTGTTCTTCTTGAAAATGAGTCCATATATTTAAATAAGTGCTGGAACACAGTTTTCTATTTTAGAGAACTTTGAAGTATTTTTTTTATTTTTTTGTAGTGCTGGGGATAGTATTTATATTAGCATGGTCCCTGTACAATGGAATGAATTTTACTGTTTCCTTTTTCAGGAATGATGTTTGTTAGACAAATAACATAAACACAGTCTGTTGAAAAAATTATTTATGGGTGGGGGTATAGTTTAGTGGACACCCTGGGTTTGATCTCCAGTATCACAGAACTAAAAAGAAGAAACTCATATAGGCTTCTTCTTCTTTTCATTTTTTGGTTATTCTGAGCCTTTTAATCTTCCATATTAACTTAAGGACAGTTTTTTTTTTCTAATTCTGTGAAGAACATTCTTGGTAATTTAACAGGGATTGCATTGAATCTTTGGATTGCTTTTGGTAATATGGCCATTTTAACTATATTAATTCTGCTAACTCATGCATGTGGGAGGTCTTTTCACCTCTCTTGTCTTCTTCTATTTCTTTTTTGAGTGTTCTACAATTTTATTTATTTATTCTTTTTGTTTTTGTTCTTTTTAAATTTGTTGTAATTAGTTATACATGACAGCAGAATGCATTTTGATTCATTATACACAAATGGAGCACAACTTTTCATTCCWCTGGTGTACACAATGTAGAGTCACACCACATGTACAATAATACATGTACCTAAGGTAATGATGTCCATCTTTCCCCTCCCTTCCCCTAAGTTCCTTTTGCCCAAAGTTCCTCCATTCTTCCTGTGTCCCGCTCCCGCCCTCTCCTCYGCCATTATGGATCAGCATGGACTTATCAGAGAGAACATTTGCCTTTTGTTTTGGGGKATTGGCTTACTTCGCTTATCATGATATTCTCCAACTCCATCCATTTACCTGCAAATGCCATGATTTTGTTCTCTTTTATTGCTAAGTAATATTTCATTGTGTATGTATACCACAGTTTCTTTATCCATTCACCTATTGAAGGGCATCTAGGTTGGTTCCACACTTAGCTGTTGTGAAGTAAGCTGCTTATGTAGCCTTCTTGAACAATAGAAGTAGACAAAAYGGGGTTCAAAGATTTTTGAGGGTTCCAATTTATCAGTTTCACATACTAACTATACGTTTGTGTGTACTCACTATACATACCAAAGAGGAAGGGAAGCCATCTGTATTTGGAAGTGATATTTTAGAAATATTCTTTTAGTAGGACTTCTTAATTTTTAAAAAACATACTTGATATCCTTCAAAAGATTTTTTGGGCTGCTGTTGTAGCTCAGTGGTAGAGCACTTGCCTACCATGTATGAGGCACTGGGTTCAATTCTCAGCACTTCATATAAATAAATAAAATAAATATCCATTGACAACTAAAAAAAAATTAAAGATTTCTTAACTAAAGTTATAGTGAAGCAGTTTCAACTTCTAGAATATATCTGTAGATTTGGAAGGAAAAGATGGCTTTTGGGTAACTGAAATAATTGTGAAGCCTTTAGAAATTAATCAAGAGCCTTTTCAGCATATGTATTTTGTAATTTTGCTATTCTGGTTTCTTGATACACAAATAATAAAAGTAAAATATTTAACAAGAATTAAGAAAATATTAAGTTATATTTTTAAACTCTGATAAAGATTAGGGAAATAGGAATGTTTCAGAAGTGACTTCCTCAAAGCAGTAATAAATAAATAAACAAAYAAATAAATAAATAAATAAAGTTGATTATTAAGTTAGTGATATTTTGTTTCCCAGAGAGATGAGGCACATATGGAGTTTCTATTTGGTATTAATAAAAATAGCGTTTCATATTGTGAGTTTTGCTGTATATTGTTTTCATTGGCAATTTTCTTGAACAACCTGTCATTAATTAATACTAACTTTGCTTAACATATTACTGATAGAATTATCAATTACCATTTGATTTAAATGACTAATGTAGAAAACATTATTATCAAACCATTAATATTGCTCTTTTGTTCTTTCAAATAATGGCTCATTGTGGAGCAGGAACAGGGAAAATGCAAGATGAGTACAAATTATCAAACACTAAACAGACTTTAAAAGGCTTAAAGCTGGAACAATTTGAACAACAAAATAAATGATAGTTTTTTATTTTAATCTAAAGAATAAAATATATATCTATGAATTCAAGCTATGGAAATAAATGATTAATAAATAGGTTGGGGAGAAGGAACAGAAGAATTTCAAATGCTCATAATCCACTCGTGTTTTTGTGTGACTGTTCTTGCATTGTCTYACCCATGAGCTTTTGGGGGACATCACATATCCAAACCATAACAAACATTTATTATTACCACTTATTATTCAATATTGTGTTGCAAGTTCTCGCCAATATAATTGGGCAAGAAAACGAAATAAAAGGTATTCAGATTAGAAAGAAAGAACTATCTTTTTCATAGATCCATGATCATCTATGTAGAAAATATAAACAGATTCCAGCAGGCTCTTTTCAGGAAATAAGACATGGTGATTCTAGAAGGTAAATGTAAAACATGTAAAAGCCTTAAAATAGACAGAACAACTCTGAAAAGGAATCATGAAGCCGATAAACTAACACTACCTAATTTGAAGACTTTGAAGCTTAGATTGTTTCAGTAACCAAAATAGTGTAATATTGACATAAAGACAGACAAAGAAAAACGGCACAGAATAGAGCATCCAGAAATGAATATAAATCCACCATAGACCAATGATTTTTGAGAAAGATTAAAAAAACAATGCATTACAGAAAAGTTATCATTAAGAAATGATGCTGGCTGGGTGCAGTGGTACCTGCCTGTATCCCAGAGGCTCTGGAGGCTGAGGCAGGAGGAGCAAAGTTCAAAACCAGCCACAGCTACTTAGCAAGGTCCTAAMCAACTTATTGAGACCCTGTCTTATAATAAATTTTATAAAAAGGGCTGAGGATGTGGCTTAGTGGTTAAGCAACCCTGGATTCAATTTCTGGTACCAAGTTAAACAAAGAGTTTCAATTAATACCTTGTGCAAAAAAAAAAAAAAGTAATTCATAAAAGTATAGACTACAATGTAAAGCTGAAAAAGTTAAACTTCTAGAAGAGAACAGAATTATTTCCTTGGCTTTTGCACAGATTTTTTAGATACAATAAGAAAATCAAGATCCATAAAATAATGAATAAGTAGAGTACAATTCAGAAAAGGCAAAACTTATCAAAAGCTGCTCTTTAAGATACTCTTCCCTTTAAAAACACAGATAATTGTCATACATACATACATCAAATTGAAAAGCCATCGCTGGGAGAAAATATTTGCCAAGCATATATATAATAAAGAACTTGTGTATATAGAATCTATATTATAAAAACTCTCAAAATGCAAGAATAAGGGGGAAAATAATTTAGTTAAAACATCAGAAAAAGATTTTAATAAATAGTTCACCAAAGAAGATCCACAGATGACAGGCAAAGATGCTTAACAGAATTACTTGCTAGAAAAATCAAAACCAAATAAGATACTACTATACATACATTAGAATGTCTAGCATTAAAAAGACTGACATTACCCAGTATTAGTAAGATGTGGAGCTGGAATACTCATACCCTGCCAGCGGAAATGTAAAATGGAACAACCCCTTGATAAAACAGATTACAATTTCTTCTTAGAAATTTAACGAACACTTCTGTGTCTCTACCTTTCCACCTGTAGGTAATTACCCAGGAGAAAAAGAAATGTATGTTCATATGAATTCTTATATAGTAATGTTCATAATAACTTTATTTGCAGTAGTAAAAATCTGCAAACAACCTAAATGTCCATCSATAGTGAATGAATAAACTGTGGCATATTTATACATTATTAAACAATTAAAGGGAATGACTTTCTGATACATGCCACAGCATGGATGAATCTGGAGTGTTATACTCTATGATCTCATGTATATAGAGTTCTGAAATAGGCAAAATATGATGACAGAAAGCTGCTGGTAAAGTAAGGGGGAGAAAAAGGGAGGGATTATCCAGAAAACTTGGGATATGCTCGMAGTATTGATAGGGGAAAGTCCAGGMATGTACATGTTTTAATATGCATATATTAAATAAGTTTCAATATTATTAAATTGAATATTTTAAATATTTATACTTTATTGTGTATTATAATTCTTGTGAAGTTTGTTTTAAAAACAAAAGCTGAGTTGTCAAGATGGATTTTGGTGCAGTTAGGAACTGAAAGAACAAAGTAAGATTGGAATGATATTGAATATTTACATGAAATGTTCAAATAAATTATTATAATATTACTATTTTAATTTAAAGCCTAAGATTATTGCCACTTTTTTAAAGGTTTGAATGACAATCTGCATGTGAATACAAAATTAATGATAAAAATGACATTTCTTCTTTCTTCTCTCCTTCCCCCTCTTTTGTTTTTCAAAGGAGTGACAGTTCTTTCAGATTCTTTGTATTCTTCTTCGTCTATATTTGTCAGTTTGCTGTACATGTGCTCCAGGCTGCAGGATTTCATAATTGGGGCAATTGGTAAGTTTATTTACTTTATTAGTTTTAAGTTGTTAATCTAATATTTGTATATAATTTTTGTATCCTAATATAGTTTACACAGAAAAGTCAGATCAGCCAAAGCAAACAAATAAGATAAAAAAAATAGCAAGGAACACAGTTTTAACAKGTCCCAAGAGATGTAGCATTTGGACAAACCATTCCCTTTGAAGATTATGTTCCCATTTTATAAAACAGCACATTCTATCTTCTTTAAATAAATTGTGCATGAATAMTTTTTGATAGCCACACGCATAGCTCTCCTGCTCCCACTGCTTCCTTAACCCCGAGCAACCACTAATCTGTTTGTCATTCTGATCATTCTATCATTTTATGAGGGTTACTTAATTGGAATTATACAGCATGCAACTGCTGGCTTTTTTACTCTGAATAATCCTGTTGAGAGTTATCCAAGTTGTTCTGTGTATCAGTAGGTTCTTTCTTTTTATTCTTGAGTAGTATTCCATGGTATGGATGTACCACAATTTGTTTAACTATTCCCCAATTGAAGAACATCTGGATTGTTTCCAGTTTGAAGCTATTATGAATAAAGCCACTGTGAGCATTCATGAGCAGGTTTTTGTGTGAATATAAGTTTTCATTTCTCTGGGATGACACAATAAACAGTTGGGCCATAGAGAAGTTGCATATGTTTTTTGTTGTTGTTGTTGTTGTTTTTGTTTTTAAAGAAGCTGATAAACTGTCTTCCAGAATGGCTGTACCATTTTATAATCTCACCAACAATTATGTGTGATTCAGCCTCCACCTCATTTAGTGTTGCCACTATCTGTTTCATCAGCCATTCTGATGAATGTGTAGTGATATCTCATTGTGGTTTGAATTTGCATTACCCTAATGACTAAAGAAATTGAACAACTTTTCATATGTTTATTTGCCATCTTTCTGTCCTCTTAGTAAATTGTCTCACCATGTGTTTTGCCTATTTTCTAGATGATTTTTTTGTATTGTTAAACCATAAAAGTTATTTTTATATTCTAGAAACTAATCCTGTGTTAAATGTGAGGTTTGCAAATATTTCCTTCCATAATTCGGCAAAATTTAAAATGAGCATTTAAAAATATGGCTATAAACTCACAAGCTTAAACAGTGCAATAATGTGGTGGTAAACACTTGGGGCTCAGGGGTTTCATCTGCTTTTGAATTCAGATTATGCTTTATTAGCTGTGAGAACTTGGGCACTGAGTACCTCTGTGACCTAGTTTCTCATCTGTAAAATAGTAAAAATAGCACCTCTCTTATGAGATTATGATCTCGTTAGAATTAAATGAGCTAATACATATAAAGAAGTTGAACACTTAAGTGCTGAATGTCGGTTAGGTATTATTTTTAACAAGTCTGCATTAACTTAYCTGCTTAACTACACTTTGCTTTTGATTATTTTGTAGTGGTTGGATTTCATCCCTTACTGGTCTCAACCAAAACATTCCTGTTGGAATCATGATGATAATCATAGCGGCTCTTTTCACAGCATCAGCAGTCATCTCACTAGTCATGTTTAAAAAAGTAAGTGCAGCTTCATGTCCSTGATTTTTCTCGTGAGCCTGATGCAAAGATCTTGTTCTCCCATTTTGTGTAACCTCAAGATGGTTTGTTGTTCTTGTGCAAGTTTGCTCTTCGAGTATTATTTTTTACAATGAATAATTAGGCACAGAGCTGGACTCGGTGGCACGTGCCTGTAATCCCAGCGGCTTAGGAGGCTGAGGCAGGAGGATCTTGAGTTCAAAGCCAGCCTCAGCAACAGTGAGATGCTAAGCAACTCAGTGAGTCCCTGTCTCTAAATAAAATACAAAATAAGGCTGGGGATGTGGCTTAGTGGCCGAGTGTCCCTGAATTCAATTCCTGGTACCAAAAATTAAAAAAAAATAGTTATGCACAGAACACACTTTAGAAAAATCATGTTTGCAACTTCCAGGAAAAAAAAAAAAAGGAATATAGATTGAACATCCCTAATCCAGAATCCAAAATTTGAAACTTTTGACCATTGACATTATGCCCCAAATGGAAAATTCCACATCTTACCTCACATGACAGACACGTTATAAAATTATATAAAATAACCCTCAGGCTATGTGTATAAGATATGTATAAAGAATAAATAAATTTCATGTATATATTTGGCTTCATCCCCAGGATATTTCATTATGTATTTGCAGGTATTCTGAAATCTGAAGCACTCTTGGTCCCAACCATTTAGAATAAGAATATTCGACCTCCATTTTTAAGACCTTTTAGCTGAAGGCTGCTTTTATGAATTGGACAGCCAACCAAATTTTAAAATTTTTGATCTTTTATGTTTTCCAATTTCTGTTTTGAATGAAGCCTATATAGCTTCTTTTTTTTCTTTATCCACATTTTTATTGTTGCATTATAGTTATGCATAATGATGGGATTTGTTGTTACATTTTCACACATGCACACAATATAACAATATCCCACCATTATGCATTTGCTTCTTCAAAACAGAAATATTGAATACCTACCAAAGCACTTTTTGTGATTTGTTTTAGTGCTGTACTGCTTCTGTCAATGCTTCTATTACCTTTTTTTAAAAAATATATATATATTTTTTTTATTTGTAGATGGACACAATGCCTTTATTTTACTTATTTATCTTCATGTGGTGCTGAGGATCAAACCCAGGTCCTCGTGTGTGCCAGGAAAGCACTCTACCACTGAGCTACAGCCCCAGCACATTTTTATTTTTTTCCCCCTTTTTTTTTTTTTTGGTCACTTCCTGGGATACCTTCAGAACATTTTTTATAGGTCACTCTCATACCCTGCCCCCTTCTTTCAGTCCATTTCATATGTAGTTTCTATATTAACTAACATTGTGTAGATTTTTGATGTGAATCTGGGGCTGGGAATGAGATTGTGGTGGTGGTGAGAAAAAGGACTAGTGGTGACGTTTCACAACTCCTGGAACCATATTTTCATCTCTAGTCAAACTGTACTGTTGACTTTCCTCAGATACATCCCCAGCCATCCATTCCTTCACCCCCCTTGTCATTTTCTCTTATTCCAAGACCAGCTCAGATCCTGCTGCCTACTCTACAGAATCTGTCTCATGACTCCCCGTCTTTGGGATTATGCAAGTCTCTCTTTTCTTGGGGAACTTTCTGTCTGTTTTGGTCACTCTGGGACCTGAACATAAGCCAGTTTATATGCCTTGTAGAGCATGTATTCTGGGTACCCAGCTTGATAAAACCCTCCAGGGAGGACCTGTCTTTTAGCATTGGAATTAAACAAGGAGAGCAAGAGCTTTGCTTTAAAACCATGCAGCTCAGGTTGAAATTCTGATGCTTCACTTAACAGCTGTGTGACCTGAGACAGGAGCTTATAGCCGCTCAGATTCAGTGTCCTCACTTGCACTCCAAGCTGCCTGAGAGCAGGGCCTTGGTTACCTCTATGCTTTCAGCTTGGATTCCTCACATCTGAAGCAGTGATAAGCAGTGATTAGCATGTGATAGGCATTCAGATATTTATTGAATGAAAGAAGAAATGGGAATAGCTACTTTTATGGGGTTGGTGTGAGGATGAAATGAAACAATAAATGCAAGTTATGTGGCACAATTACAATTAGTTTTCCTTTTTGATCTTCTTGACTCACGTTTTACCCTTTGATATTCAGGTTCTGGTTTAGGATTTTCTTGTGTTTGCAAGTAATTAGCTTCCTTAATTGTGAGGGCTGGTTAGGTGAGTCTGGGAAGAGAAACGAATGAATGGGCACCACCATCCCRTGACTTAATGGCTGTCGCATAGGAAAGGGAGCAGAGGAGCACCTAGCCAAGTTTTGGAGGTCTTCCTAAGTAATTAAGTCCATTTTTTTTTTTTTTTGCTGTTTTTTAAAATGAAATCTCATAGTACTGCCCAGGCTGGCCTTGAACTCCTGGGCCCAAGCCATCCTCCTACCTCAGCCTCCTGATTACAGGGCATGTGCCACTGTACCCAGCTATGCAGTCTGTTGAAGTATTGTCTCAGCTGAGTTAAAATGATATCTCTCCATTATTGTAATTATCTAAATAAAGGAATAAGGATAAGAGAGTAAGTAGGTTCCAGACAGTGAGCATATCAGTTCATATTTAGTCACAGGATGTAACATGACAAATTTAGGAATTTACAAATAGCTCAGAATGGATGGAAAAGGAAGTTGGTGTGTAGATTGGGGCAAAGAAAAATGTGGGGTGTTGGTGGTTGAGGGTGGGGAGTTGAGGGTGAACATGTAAGTGCAGTTCTGTCCTGCAGAGTCTTATTGACTAGGAAACCTTGTTAAGAAGTTTGAATTGTCTCCATAAAGAGGTGGTGAGCCATAGAAGAGTCTTGAGGAGGAGAGTAACTGAGTTGATCTGATTTGAGTTTTAGAAGGATTATTCTGAAATAGATTTGGGATTTGGGGAGCAGGGTTCTAGTACTTGGAAAAACCAAGGCTGGGAGATGGGCTAGGCAGCTAGTTAGTAATGATGTTGACCTGAACTAAATATAGTCAGTAGGAAAGTGAGCAGGTAATGATTATTAATTCAGCTAGGGTTTGTAAGTAGTGGATAAAGGATGCCCTCCAAGTTTTTAGATACTGGGCCTTTCAGGAAGGGAGGGTATAAGAAGAGCAGGTTTGGAGATCAAGTGGTTTCAACCTTTTATATGGGGAGTGTAAAATACTAGTGGGACATTAAAGTCTAAGTATTTGGTAGGCTTTTGGATATACAAGTAAGGAGCACATGGGCTGGATTTCTAGACTGGGAAGTATCAACTTCCTAAAGTAAGTGAAGCCTGGAAAGCGCATGGAGTGAGAAGAGGGCCAAGGGTGGAAGATGCCTACCATGAGTCTGCTCTGGGAAGTGTGGAGAGAATTTTAACTAGCAGTAGTGTGTGTGGGGGGGGAATAGGTAGAACAGCTGCTCTGGAGAGTCAGCATGGTGGAAGTGTTCATCCTCGGCTGCTGTGTAATGGACTACTAAGTGCAGTGCTCCAAACTCCATCCTGGAATTCCCTTCTCCCCCATTTTCCAGGTACTCCATTTTTCAGGACCCAACCCATGAAAGAAATAGTTGTAGAGCTGTGCTCATATTCATATGCCAGGCATTCAAAAATATTACTGTTTCTCAAATAAAAGAATTGATCTTGGAATTATGTTACACACTCTGATATTTTGGTTGATTTTTTTTTAACCTCATAGTTAAAGAAGTTATCAGCTACCTCATTTTATATGTGTACTGTCTGTTGGTGCTGTCCAAATCTTTTAAGCTAACCTGGGGGAGTAGGGGGGACCAGGGGACACCAGGGATTGAACTCAGGGGCACTTGACCACTGAACCATATCCCCAGCCCTATTTTGTATTTTAATTAGAGACAGAGTCTCACTGAGTTGCTTAGTGCCTCACCATTGCTGAAGCTGGCTTTGAATCACGATCCTCCTGCCCAGTCACTGGGATTTCAGGCGTGCATCACCACATCCAGCTAGGATCTCATATTCTTTACCTGTGAAACAAGGAGTTTAGATGAAGTGCTTTTCTGTATCATTTATGAAGAAGAAGAAATGGGAATAATATAAGTTAAAGTATAATCTGAGGTGGCTTTAGTATTTTAATGTCAGACATTTCTCTTACAATGATAGAAATTGAGATCCAAGAAAAACAACTGATTTCTTCTTTTTTTCTTCCATAATTGCTCAAAATTGGCTATTTAATAACACACACAAAAAATCTTTTGGGGTATGTAGCATAGTTTATAACCACTAGGGGTCATATTCTTCATAAACAGTTAATGCCCTTGAAAAGTTACCTGTGCACAGTATTTTGGTTCTAGAATTCTTGGGTTTTATAAGGCTGTTTCTCTTTCCAGCTCCAGCCAATTGTGGCTCTGTGGTATATGTTTGTTTTAATGGAAAGAAAAGCAATACTGAGAATTTTCTTGTTACTAAGTTTTGCATAATTGGAATAGGTTATCATTATTATATAGAGTACCCCAAATGTCTGTATTTCTTCCATAGTGTCATTTTATAATCCAAGTTTTAAGTACAAAACAATATATGCCTCTTGAACATCTTCATAGATAAGGAAACAATTCAACCCTCATTTTACACAAATAGATTTCTTCTGTTTTCTCTCAGATTATTTCTTAATTATCTTTTTTTTAAAGGACTGATTTCTGTAGTAAACTATTAGAAAGAATTGGATAATGGTTTGGGGCCAAAGGAGAAGATACCATAAATGGGTCCACCAACAATAAATAAATGCTTCACAGGAAATTATTAGGGGAATCCTAAAATTTTTCTCTTCTTATAACTGGTAAAAGAGTTAGAATTACTTAATATAGGAGTGATTAATACATACTAAATAATTTGTATTCTTTTGGAACATGACTTTGATTTTCTTTTCCATGAAATTTGAAAACTTATTTATGAATTTTCATGTTCACATTAATAAAAGTTATTAATGATTTTTTGCATCTTCAAAGAATTTTAGGTAAATATTATTTTCTTCTCTAATAATGAAATTTTTTTAGGTGCTT